GAGGCAGCCTGGGATCGAACCACCGACCTTCTGATTAGTGGCTGACCTGCTCTGCCACCTGAGCTACAGCGACCCCACAGCCGCAATAACGAAGTGTACTGAGACCTGTGAACATATGGTCAGTTCGGTCGTGCATCATTTACAGCGGTGCAGAAACCCAGGATTGGGGCACTAGAGACCCGACCACATGTTCACACTTCTTTATTGCGGCTGTTGACTTACACACGCGGTTCAGCCAAACACACATCAGCAACAACACGACCTAGTTCATTCTGTTTTAAGCTGGCGAGATGTGACTGGGCATACCACTCAGGTGCGTCTGCCTCCCCGCAGCCGTGCCGCTGACCACGCCCCGCCACAGCTCAGCAGTCAAAAAAAGGCTCACTGCAGCCACTAAGAGTCAATGGTATGAAACTTTCACTAAATTGTATATTTTTCATCTCTCTTCACAAGTTTCTGGATTTCTTTTTTTTTTTTTTTAAAGACTAAGACTGAACTATATTTTTCCATGTTTGGCACATTTTCACATTCTGTTTAACTTTTTGCTTTTTTGAAAAACAACCATACTAATTACCGTGTCACCATTCTGCTTAGTTCGTAAACCAGAATCATGTATTTCATCTTGTTGTTGTCATCGTGTTGTTGAGTTAAGGAGTAACTATTGTCATCTCTGATGATCAAACTGTGTTTGAGATAAAATATAATGCTTTAAATACTTTTCAACTATGAATTTCTGTTGAAAATGAACTGTTGAACATTTACAGCTGCAAGGAGTCATCTAAATCGGTCATTGTCCAAATGTCTCCTGCTTGACCTTTACTCTCTGCTTGAACTAATTCTTCATGATTCCTCCACAGAGTGCACCAGGAGAGCTCAGAGGTTCAACGTAGTCAGTCTGCCCATCAAACACAGCTGGACTCCATATTTATGGTCTGTACATGTACAACAACTTCTTTTACATCTGTTCTGTTCACAGTCATCTTCATGCTGCTCTTTGTAGACCAGCGGGGTGTCAGTGTGTCCAACATGGATCTGATGTTTGGCTCCATGATTTCAGTCTGATTGGCTCATTCATAAAGTATCCTGTTCCAGATGCTGGAGGACAACATCATCACGTTTGTAAAGAACGAGCTGAAGAAGATCCAGAAGCTTCTGAGTCCAGATTACCCAGAATGCTTAGAGAGTCAAAGGGAAGAAGAAGAACAGAGGAAGAGGACCAGAGAAACTTTTGTGAAGATCACGCTGGACTTTCTGAGGAGCATGAAACAGGACGAGCTGGCTGACCGCCTGCAGAGCAGTAAGAGGATTTAAACTGCTGGATTAATGGGAAATTTACTTATGTCTTTAGAGACACGTCAACATGTGCAATCAATAAATTGAGATTCTTACTCCTCTGTTCCTTTAGGAATTCCCATTGGAGCTTTTCAACATCATCTCAAATCTTTCTTGTCAAAGAAGTTCCAGCATGTGTTTGAGGGCATCGCTAAAGCAGGAAACCCGACCCTTCTGAATCAGATCTACACAGAGCTCTACATCACAGAGGGAGGGACTGCAGAGGTCAATGATGAACATGAGGTCAGACAGATGGAAACAGCATCCAGGAAACCAGACAGACCAGAAACAACCATCAGACAAGAAGACATCTTTAAACTCCCACCTGGAAGAGATGAACCAATCAGAACTGTGCTGACAAAGGGAGTGGCTGGCATTGGGAAAACTGTCCTAACACAGAAGTTCACCCTGGACTGGGCTGAAGGCAAAGCCAACCAGGACTTCCAGTTCATGTTTCCATTCACTTTCAGAGAGCTGAATGTGCTGAAAGAGGAAAAGTTCAGCTTGGTGGGACTTGTTCATCACTTCTTTACTGAAACCAAAGAAGCAGGAATCTGCAGCTTTGAAGACTTCCAGGTTGTGTTCATCTTTGATGGTCTGGATGAGTGTCGCCTTCCTCTGGACTTCCACAAAACTACAATCCTAACTGATGTTACAGAGTCCACCTCAGTGGATGTGCTGCTGATAAACCTCATCAGGGGGAAACTGCTTCCCTCTGCTCGCCTCTGGATAACAACACGACCTGCAGCAGCCAATCAGATCCCTCCTGGGTTTGTTGACATGGTGACAGAGGTCAGAGGGTTCACTGACCCACAGAAGGAGGAGTACTTCAGGAAGAGAATTGGAGATAAGAAGCAGTCCAGCAGGATCATCTCTCACATCAAGACTTCACGAAGCCTCCACATCATGTGCCACATCCCAGTCTTCTGCTGGATCACTGCTACAGTTCTGGAGGATGTGCTGGAAACCAGAGAGGGAGGACAGCTGCCCAACACCCTGACTGAGATGTACATCCACTTCCTGGTGGTTCAGGCCAAAGTGAAGAAGGTCAAGTATGATGGAGGAGCTGAGACAGATCCACACTGGAGTCCAGAGAGCAGGAAGATGATTGAGTCTCTGGGAAAACTGGCTTTTGATCAGCTGCAGAAAGGAAACCTGATCTTCTATGAATCAGACCTGACAGAGTGTGGCATCGATATCAGAGCAGCCTCAGTGTACTCAGGAGTGTTCACACAGATCTTTAAAGAGGAGAGAGGACTGTACCAGGACAAGGTGTTCTGCTTCATCCATCTGAGTGTTCAGGAGTTTCTGGCTGCTCTTCATGTCCATCTGACCTTCATCAACTCTGGACTCAATCTGCTGGAAGAACAACAAACAACCTCCAAGAACTCTGACACAAGAGAATCTACAGAGAAAAACTTCTACCAAACTGCTGTGGACAAGGCCTTACAGAGCCCAAATGGACACCTGGACTTGTTCCTCCGTTTCCTCCTGGGTCTTTCACTGCAGACCAATCAGACCCTCCTACGAGGCCTGCTGACACAGACAGGAAGTAGCTCACAAACCAATCAGGAAACAGTCCAGTACATTAAGGAGAAACTAAATGAGAATCTGTCTGCAGAGAAAAGCATCAATCTGTTCCACTGTCTGAATGAATTAAATGATCGTTCTCTAGTAGAGGAGATCCAGCAGTCCTTGAGTTCAGGAAGTCTCTCCACAGATAAACTGTCTCCTGCTCAGTGGTCAGCTCTGGTCTTCATCTTACTGTCATCAGAAAAAAATCTGTTTGAGTTTGACCTGAATAAATACTCTGCTTCAGAGGAGGCTCTTCTGAGGCTGCTGCCAGTGGTCAAAGCCTCCAACAGAGCTCTGTAAGTAAACATGTGGTCACAGCTATTTTTTTTAATTAACAGCAAACAGGTATCCACAACTAACAAAAGAAACATTACTGGGTGCTTATATCTGTAAAATCAGTAAAACTGTTAAATGATCATCAGTAGTCACTTTATGCAAAGTGACTAGAAATTGTGAGTGTTTGTGAAATATTTCGAAGTGTAACCTCATCACTCAGGCTCCATTCAAGCCTCTATCTACACCACAAGCGTCTAGACTCTGGGCGGGGTCCTGCTCTAATCCCCGTCACCACTGGGAATCCATTCTGAGATGGGCCATCGGAGTCTTATCGCAAAATATCTCTATCTGAATTCTGTACATCAATACATTTTTTTTTCCCAAAAGGTGATTCTGTTCATCTGGATGTAGCGTTTTCAATGTGCTGTAGAAACAGTACATTTGCACACTGACCTCACATCCTAGTGAAAGAACAATGGTCTGTGAGGTCATTTCCTTGATCATTAATGTACAAATTATTATAAAGTTGCAAACTATTATAAGGCTTTTTATGAAGTTGAGGAAACCTGCAGTCAGTTGAGACTGAAGAACTTTTTTGGATGAGTGACAAAATGTTTCTCCCACTGGAAACGCTACGTCCAGATAAACAGAATCAACTTGTTGGGATTTACCTACCTGGATAATTGAGCATGCATCAAGACAATAAATCGTGTTCAGTTCCTTCTAATGGCCTCTAACTCGTTTTGCTTGTGGGTTCCTGCTGCCAGCCCCAAGAAGAATCTCCCTGCCTTTATTTTCTACAGCTTTGTCTTGTTACCCCCATTTCCATTTCCCCGATTAGTCTCGAGTTCCACTTCAATGTTTGTTATGATTTTGAATTTAGCGTGGTATTTTATTATTATGTGGACTTTATCAGTCAATAAATACCTTGCTTCTTCTTAGTTTGCCTTCTGTATCAAGCACTTTTGGTCCTATTTCACAAACTTTGTGATCCTTCAGATTGTTAGAGAATGCCATGACCAGTATGGACCCAGGAGAGAAACCATTTACACTGTGGAAAATGAGGCATCAGTGCCGACTTTATCTCACCACTTTGAGTGACCCTGATGTAAGGAGTTTGGTGATTGCTCTTTTTGCTTCTTGGAAATTATTCTCACAGAATTCTTTACTGCTCCAACCTGCCTGCCTTGTCCGGACTGGCCATCCTTCTAACCCTCAGTCGAGGTCACACCTCTATCTAAATTCCACACACCTGGGTTCGTCAATGCAAAGTCAATGAATGGTGCTAGATACCAGGATGATACCTCTTCCTTTTCCTCATGAACCGAGCCGGTCTGCTTGAACCAGCACCTTGCTAGAGTCGAGTCAGCCAATTGTAATCTTGTAAGATGCTTTTATTTTTCTTGGAGTCTGTTCTTCCCGTGTCTGAAATGATGACTCCAGAAATTGTGCCTCCTGTTCCTGAACTAGCTAATCTTGAGGTTGCTCTTCCTGGGCCTTAGCTAGCTACCCCATATATTTTGAGCCTCTGCCTTAGCCAAACAAACTGGAGCATATGAGTCCTTTAATGCCTGAGCTTAAATAACCAGAGAAATGTTAATACAAACTTGAGCATTTTATGGTGCCAGAGATGTGCATCCTGATCTTGACCTTAAAGGGAAGCTGGCTGAACAAAAGACTAAGGCCACTGCTGCTAACGTGCCTGCTCTGCCTTTGTGGCTGGCTACAGGTTTAACTAACGGATGGACTCTCCTTTCCAGCACTCTGGCATAGACTTTCCGGGGGGGCTGAGGAGTTTGATCCCCCTGTAGTTGGAACACACCCTCCGGTCCGCCTTCTTGAAAATGGGGACCATCAACCCGGTCCAGGGGTACTGCCCCTGAACTCCAAGCAACATTACAGAGGCGTGTCAACCAGACAGCCCTACAACATCCAGAGCCTTTAGAAATTTGGGGTAGAGCTTATCCACCCCAGGAGCTATACCACCACGGAGTTGTTTAACTGCCTCAGTGACCTCGCCCCCAGAGACTGGCGGGTCATCCCCTTCGTGATCAGACAAGGAGGTCCTCGAAGTATTCCTTCCACTGCCTGACTATTTTCTCAGTCGACGTCAGCTGCGCTCCAATCGCACTATACACAGTGCAGTGCACCTCTCCAGAGTCCCCTGACGGTTTGCCAGAATCTCTTCAAGGCAGTCTGAAAGTCTTTTTCTTTTTTCTTTTTTTTGGCCTCTCCGAAGTCCACCATTTGGTTCGGGGGTTACAACCACGACAGGCACCAACCACCTTGCGGCTGCAGCTCAATGCAGGATAGGATAGGATGGTGGTGATAGGATTACAAATTCGATCATCAACGTGTGGCCGAGAGCGTCCTGGTGCAATGTGCACTGGACACGCTTATGTTCGAAGATGGTGTTCATCATGGCCAAACTGTGGTTTGCACAGAAGTCCAACAACAAAACACAACCAGTGTTCAGATCCGGGAGGTTATTACTTCCAGTCACGCCCCTCCAAGTCTCACTGTCGTTGCCCACATGAGCATTGAAGTCTCCCTTTGTGACAACAGAGTCCCCAGGAGGAGCACCCTGCAGTACCCTACTCAGAAACTCCAAGAAGGCTGGGTACTCTGAACCGCCACTTGGCGCATAAGAAGGTCAGGACCCGTCCCCCAAATCGTAGGCGCAGGGAATAAATTCTCTCGTCCACTTGGAGCGGGGGCCCTGGTGGACCGATCCCCTAATCATGAACCAGAAATTATTTTTCTTAGTATGTTTAAAGTTTGTTTTCAACTTCTAATCAGCAGGTGAAGGAGGTGTTGTTTACAAAGAAAAAATGCTGCTTTTCAGGATACTTCATTCAATTTTCAAGGAGGAGCTTTATAAAACTAGCCAGTCAAAGTTAGGGTTGGGTCTTCTCCACACTGCACTTCATAAAGTGCTTTACAAACCTGGACATTATGACTAACAGGTGGATCTTCTAGTTTAAGTGCAGCTGGCCGGACACTATAGAACCACTTATAGCTAAAGAGACAGACAGTGAAAGAGGACAGTATATTCTTAGTTTGTAAACATCAAGCTCAGTGTTGCAGCCAAAGACAGAAAACAAATGATGCCCTTAACATCCTAGGACCTGTCATCCACATATGTGGAAATCACATTTTGGGTTTTCTAGACCAAAATACTAAATTGTGCTCTACAAGGGCCTGATATCCACTTACGTGGACATTATACTGCCACTGTTTTATCAAAATTTAAAACGAATGTCCTCATATGTGGATCTCGTTTTTCTCAGGAACAAAAGTCAAGTAAAAAAAAAATCTGGTAATTCTTTGGTTTTGCATATATCAGGTCTCAATCAGCCCAAATAGCAAAGTGAAATTATAAATGCACGCCATGAAAGAGTTCGGGTCTTAGGAGGTTAAAGTGATTTTTAGTTTTAATGTCCCCTTTCTCTGAGTTATTCATTCTCTCACTAACCAGCTAACATTAACTAACGTACGTCTATTAGCTGCAACCAACCTAACACATGACTTCATGTCTTTTACTGACACAAGATAAACATGTTTTTAAAACTTAAATCCAACTTCACGGACAGTGTTAAATCTGTCTGTTTTTTAGACTCCATGATGTAAATTTGCTAGGAAAAGAAGCTAAAGAAGCTTGTTTCCAACAGGGGTCATTCCATCTGATTTATTTTTTCTTTATAATTTTAAGATTAAAATGTATATATAAAAAAAGTTACAGTCCAAAGCTGTGATATGATGATTGAAATCAGAAGTGATTTCATTATGATTTTTCAGACTTAGTCTCTGTAACCTGTCAGAGAGAAGCTGTGAAGCTCTTTCCTCAGTTCTCAGCTGTGAGTCATCTAGTCTGAGAGAGCTGGACCTGAGTAACAGCATCCTGCAGGATTCAGAAGTGAAGCTTCTGTCTGATGGACTGAGGAGTCCACATTGTAAACTGGAAACTCTCAGGTCAGATCATCTGAGATATATATGTATGTATGTATGTATGTGTGTATGTGTGTATGTGTGTGTGTGTGTGTGTGTGTATGTATGTATGTATGTATGTATGTATGTGTGTATGTATGTGTATGTATATGTATGTACGTGTGTATGTATATGTATGTACATATGTATGTACGTATGTACGTATGTATGTATACGTATGTATGTATACGTATGTACGTATACGTATGTATGTATACGTATGTATGTATATATGTATGTATACATATATGTATATATGTGTATATATATATCAATGTTTTTTCTTTTTCCTCTTAGATTGACTGGGTGTAACCTCTCAGAGGGAAGCTGTGAAGCTTTGTCCACAATTCTCAGCCTTCAGTCCTCTAGTGTGGGAGAGCTAGACCTGAGTAACTCCAACTTACAGGATTCAGGAGTGAAGTTTCTTTCTGATGGACTGAAGAGTCCAAATTGTAAACTGAATTCTCTTAGGTCAGGTTACGTGGTAATCCGTTTTTCATCAACTGACATCATTCACAAATTAAAAATTTCAGCCTCATCCATTTATTCTATCTTATTAAGGAATTAAGGGTTTCTGGGAAAGAAAACGGATTAAATATTGCTAAAGGCAATAACAGTTCATTACACCTGACAAATATATTTGTTTCATTGCTGTTTTTCAGACTGAATCACTGTAACCTCTCAGAGAGAAATTGTGAACCTCTGTCATTAGTTCTCAGCTCTCAGTCCTCCAGTCTGAGAGAGCTGGACCTGAGTAACTCTGACCTGCAGGACTCAGGACTGAAGCTTCTGTCTGTTGGAGTAAAGAGTCCAAACTGCAGACTGGAAACTCTCAGGTCAGGTTTCAAACATTTTCACTGGTGATCATATGCTATCTTTATTATATTGTTGCATAAAGATGTGTATAAAACTGCCAACTGACCTTTCATTTACCTTTTGGGTGGATTTTTAGGATCTGATGATTTTTCATTGTCACAATTAGGGATGCTCAATTAATCGAATTTTAATCTCGATTACGATCTGGGCTTTCAACAATCATTAAAAATGACTGAGCTGATTATTAGCCCCTCCCTCGTGCTTTACTCTCATGCTGCTCCGTGTGGCAAATCGAGCGCACCTCTCTGCATTTCGAACACGTGTCACAACTATTAAGAGCAGCGGTCCCCAACCTTTTTTGCGCCACGGACCGGTTTGTGCCCGACAATATTTTCATGGACCAGCCTTTAAGGTGTCGCGGATAAATACAACAAAATAAAACCAGTACCGGTACCGAAAAAAAGAAGATTTGTTCATAACACACGTGAAAAGACCGAGGAAAACCGAGTAAACGATAAAAACTATAACAAAACAACGCTGAAAACCGATAAAAACCCTGAAAACAATACATTTCACACCTGAGCCTCAACTCTCGCGGCCTGGTACCAAACGACTCACAGACCGATACCGGTCTGAGGCCCGGGGGTTGGGGACCGCTGATTAAGAGGACCCGAGGGAAGCTTGGAAAGCTAAGCAGAAGTTATTTGGAGAGGAGAGTGACTGCTGTTGTTTGAAAAGAGAGGTAAAAAAAACTTCAGTGGTGTGGAAACATTATGGGTTTAAGTATATTTTGTGTTCATATTACATATGAACACAAAATATATGTTTATAAAGACAATGTCCAAATTATATGTTTAGGTGTGTATTATTTTCATTAATGTGCAGTGAAAGGTTTAATAATACCGCAGCTCCACATTTAGATATAATAGTTCAGGAAACTAGAAATGCCTCTCTCACTAAAATTCTATTAGAATGATTCAGGTTTGTGAGAATTTTGAAAGAAAGGATAATCTCATTAATTGAGTGTTTCCTTCCCTCTATCGCCAAAGCACTTGTTAATATGTTTATTGGCGACTGTCAAACCTTTGAGTCACCGAGCGGCTGAATAGGTGAATAATGTTAACATGCTCTCGTTAAAATGTAAGTCAAAGTTCCTCTTTAAAACTCCATTATGTGTTATCAAAATCCTTAAAGTCCATCGAAAAACAACAGCGATCAAAACATTCCAGGCTTGAGCGATCAGCAAAAGTCGACTTTGCCCATCACCCACTCATTCAAAAAAAATTCCCCCGGGAGGCGAACAGGTGCTATAGTAATCACTACTACTATTACCAACACCACGTGACCCAAAGCTACGCCTATCCACAACATTCAGGCCCCTAATTATTACATCCTTACAGTAATAATTACACATCCGACATACACGACATACACTACATCACATCAGAGACACCCAGTGAGACAACATAACATACTCAAAAGTCCACCAAAGTAATTTTCTTTTAGACAGCTTTTAGACATCATCTTTCTGGAACAGACCAGGTGGTAATCACGGGTTGGACTTGAGGAGGAGGAGGTGGTTTGACGTTAAGGTTTCCAAATCATTTGGATTGGTGGATTCCAGTATAATGGGTCTGCCTGGAAGTCCATCTTGAACTGCTGGAATGGGTGTAAATGGATAGATGTTATTGTATCTGACAAACAGAAAATCATTGTTCACAGATGGATTGTTGTTTGTGTGTCTGCAGTCTGTCAGGCTGTCTGATCACAGAGGAAGGCTGTACGTCTCTGGCCTCAGCTCTGAGCTCCAACCCTTCTCATCTGAGAGAGCTGGACCTGTGCTACAATCATCCAGGGGACTCAGGAATGAAGCTGCTGTCGGCTGGACTGAAGGATCCATGTTGGAGACTGAACACTCTCAGGTATGGAGAGAATATCTGGTAGAGGAGGAAGAGCTGGAGACATTTCCTCTGTCCTTCACTCACTTCCTGTTTGTTTCATGCAGATGTGGCATGAACAATTATGCGTGAGGTCTCCAGGGAGAACTTCCCCAGGAACAATCTGTAGATATCTCAGTATTTTTAACAGTGCAGATTGGATTTCTTTCTTTCTTTTAATTGTATACACAGACCACAGACATATTTATCCTAGATTAAAACATCCACCAGAAGAAGGAAGAGGAAAGGAAATGAAAAAAATATTAGCCTACCTTTGTCAAAAGAAAAAATAAGACCTTATAAAATTATTATTTTATAATCATGGCTGTGGTAGAAGCTGACAACTACAGGGAGATGTTTTTGGTACATTTAAAGTAAAGCAGATGTGCACAAATGTTTTTAAGTATTTCAGTGCTTTTCATAGACAAATGTCACAATGTGCTTTGAAAAGCAAACACACTATAAAGTAATGGAACAGAAAACAATGGAAGAAATACATTTAGAGACGATGTAACAAACTTGTTATCATAAGATGGTTTATGTGTATTTATGTTCAGTTTTTAACCACTTTTGAATTCTTTATTTTGTCTTTTAACTTACAGTTACTTTTCACAATGAATTCACAATGTAAATCGAATTGACTATCAAACTAAAAAGCATGTCACACAGCTTGAGTGTCTGTTTGCTGTGTTTGTTCTGTGTGTGGATGCTGCACTGACTCAAATTTCAGAAGTCATGTACAGTCGTGGCCAAAAGTTTTGAAAATGACATAAATATTAGTTTTCACAAAGTTTGCTGCTTCAGTGTTTTTAGATCTTTGTGACAGTTGTTTCTGTGATGTATCAAAGTACATAGGCTTTTATTGACAATTACATAAAGTTTATACAAAGAGTGTGTATTTGCAGTGCCGGTGATTCTATTTCAAGACCTCTGTCAATCAGCTTCTGGCCCAAGTCCTGACTGATGGCTCCCCATTCTTTCATAATAAATGTTTGGAGTTTGTCAGAATTAGTTGGGTTTTGTTTGTCCACCTGCTTCTTGAGGACTGACTACAAGTTTTCAATTGGATTAAGCTCTGGGGAGTTTCCTGGCCATGGATCCAAATGTCAATGTTTTGTTCCTGAAGCCACTTAGTTATGACTTTGGCCTTATAGCATGGTGCCCCATCATGCTGGACAAGGCATTGTTTGTCACCAAACTGTTCGTGTATGGTTAGAAGAATTTGTGTCGGTGGATGTTTTGGTACTATTCTTTATTCATGGCTGTGTTTTTCAGCAAAATTGTAAGTGAGACCACTCACTGAAAAGTAGCTCCACCCATGAACGTTCTCAGGATGCTTTGCTGTTCGCGTGAGACAGGACTGATGGTAGTGCTCACCTTTTCTTCTCTGGACAATCCTTTTTCCCAGATGCCCCAAACTATCAGAGAAAATGACTTTACCCCTCAGCAGTCCACTCGCTGTACTTTTTTGCAGAACATCAGTCTGTCCCTCATACTTTTGGGGGCGAGGGGAGAAGTGGTTTCTTTGCTGCTGTTCCTGATACCAGGCCATCCTCCAAAAGTCTTCACCTCACTGTGGATGCAGTGTTAACCATGATTAACCACAATGATTTCAAACCTCACCCAGTAGCGGTTTTAGATACGGGCGACACGGGCGGTTGCCCGGGGCAGCATCATGGTGGGGGGGCGGCATCACGGGCATCGGCAAAAAAAAAAAAATGCTCATACTCATGCTGCCCTGACGTCATGCCAGCGCACATCGGGAATGGCATAGGCAGCGATTGGTTTTCTATCGCCCATTTGCTGGGAGTAAGGGCGCCCTCCGTTTGCGAGGTGCGCCTGCTGCTTGCGGCACAGGGAGGAGATGGCGGGGCGGTGGGGGATTCTCTGACCAGCTGGAGCAGCATCTAATAACCAACTAACAAAATAAAAACAAATAAAAACAAACCAACAAACACGAAAACACCAGACATCATGATACAGACTTGTATTTTGCACCGATGTTTTTTTCGAAATTCTATACGCGAAAAGTGAGCGCGAGAGCCCTCGGTGCGCCTGC